ACCAATGAAGCGCGGGAGGCTCTCCTCCGGTGGAGGGGACATTTATGCGCAGTCATGAATTTTTTCACGCCCGCAGAAAGCGTCAGTCGTTGGCAGTCAGCCTATGAGCGAGGATGTGTAATGAACGCTCGTCGGATTCCAGTAAGGTGTAAAATGACGGAACAACATGGACAGCGATATTGCATCAAATTTTGCCAAAAGCTTGGCGATACCCAAGTGGAAACCATTCCCAAGATTCAACAGGCTTTCGGGGACGATGCCATGAGCAACTCACGGATAAAGGAGTGGTACAACCGCTTCAAAGATGGCCGCGTTCAGGCAGACCCTCAACAAGCAGAAATGAGAATGTCATTGAGCAAGTGTGGACTTTGGTCGTGGAGGACCGTCGTATCACAGTCCGAGAACTTGCGAACGAGATAGGGGTAAGCATTGGATTGGTGCATTGAATTTTGACCGAGGATTTGGGCATGAGGAGAGTGTCCGCGAAATTCGTACTGAAACTGCGCATCTGGTTCAGATTTTCGTCGGCAAACACAACATCCCTGTGGTTCGTCAGGCTCCCTACTCCCCCGACATGGCTCCGTGTGACTTTCGGCTATTTCCCAATCTGAAAATGCCGCTGAAAGGAACCCGATTTGAGTCAAGAGAAGACATCGTGCGGAATGCGAAGGCCCGGCTGATCACCATTCCGAAAGACGCGTTCCAGAAGTGTTTCCAACAATGGCGGAAGCGCTGGGAGAAGTGTGTGCATTACCAAGGAGACTACTTTGAAGGGCATTAGGATTTTCTACCTCCAAATCAATAAACGCATTTCTCCTGTCCAGAGGTTCGATACTTTTTGAACACACTACGTACAATTAGAATCAAAGAAAACACCTAGGTCCTTAACGCAGCTGGTGCGTGTAATAGCAGTACGCCAAAGCTGATACCCATAGAGCAGGACATTAGTCTTCCTTGAGTACGACATAACACGCGTTTTGTTGATATTAATACTCATGGAGTTGGCAGAGCACCAGTCACTGACATGATGAATGTCATTTTGAAGAGGCAATCCTGCGGAGTGTCTATGATGCGAAAAATTTTGAGATCATCAGCAAAGATTCGAAAATGGGAGTGACTTATTGAGTTACAGAGGTCATTAATGAATATATTAAAAAGAAGGGGCCCCAGGACAGAGCCTTGCGGCAACCCGGAAGTTACTCTAAGAGGCCGGGAGAGAGCACAGACACACGGACCCGACATCTCCTGTTAGCTAGGTAACTGCCAAGCCAGTTAAGGTATCCATCTGAAAATCCAAGGGAGCTGAGCTTATGCACGAGCAAAGTATGGGGCACGAGGTCAAAGGCACTAGAAAAATCAAAATAGACAGCATCAGCCTGACGCTGACTGCAGACAACAGGGGTCATAATATCTAAGAAGGATACCAGATTAGTGGCTGTGGATTTGGATTTGGTGAAGCCATGCTGGTTGGGATGAAGTTTAATGTAATGCGAAATATGATCGTGAATAATGAATTCAAGGAGCTTAGAGAAGTTGTTAAGAAGGGTAATGGGTCTGTAGTTGCTCACACAAGCAGGATTGCCTCTTTTGAATACAGGCACAATAGTCGCTTCCTTCCATGCAGCAGGGAATTGCTGCTGAGACAGGCTCAAGTTAAATATATGCCTAAGCACAGGAATAAAAATTGCCGAACAGCCTTTTATGACAAACCCCGGGATATCATCCGGTCCGACAGATTTAGAGGGTTTTAGTCTCTTAATGGCCTTGCAGACATCCGCATCAGAAACAGGTGCAAGAGACAGGAATTCAGTAGGTTGCGAAAGAGGGGGAGGGTCTGTAGGACAATGGGTATTATAGAGGGATTGAAAATGTTTGGCAAAGGTATCAGCCACGGCAGTAGGTTCATCTAAGTGTACACCATCAACTTGAAGCTGAATGCAACCTAAAGTATGTTTCCTGAAAGAAGAAACGTATTTCCAGAGATGCTGAGGTTGTGTTTTCAGGTCGTTATCTATTGACTTCAGCCATCGAAGCCTGTCGGTTTTGATAGCGCTTTTAACAAGCTTACGATAGAAAATGAATTTGTCATAATAGTGATCAGTTTGTTTCTTTTTAAAGCGACGGTGAAAGTAATTTTTCTTACCAATGTAGTACCTTAAGGAACTAGAGTACCAGAAAGGGAATTTAGATTTGCGAATAGGGCAACGAGGAATTGCCTCTTCCTTGGCAGCTTGAACAGTAGCATTTAGGCTGGCAACTGCATCATCAGCGGAAGTAGCTCTATATACTTCTGACCAATCACATAATGACAATTAATTAAGTAATTAGGTACCTGCCGGTAACGGTAGCCGCCCGGTCTGAGGCACGTACAGTCTTCGCTCGCTCGGAAGCCGGGACAGTGGGTTCGAATCCCACACAAGGCATGGATGTTTGGTGTTTGTGTGTATATGTGCTTTTTCCTGCGTTTGTGTGCGAGCAGAGGCCTTGCGACGAGCTGATCATCCGCCCAAGGAATCCTACCGAATGTGTAAGATCTAGTAAACCGAATGAAACGGAGAGTTTCATGGAGTTAGGCCAAGGCAAAAATTGGGGCTGTAGCGCCAAAGGAAAAAATTAGGTACCTAACTAACTAACTAACTAGTTAACTAACACTGTGGGAACGTGCACATTCAGTAACTCGTTGTACTCTGTTCCTCTCTCGGAATTAAGAGCGACTTACAGCGAGAGTTTAACAGAAGCGGGAGTTTCCGAATCTCTTGGCAACTCCTCTCCAGGGCGTCCCTCATGCACTACGTCATGAAGATGCATGGGGAACTGGAGATATATCTCCATACACTAACCTTCGGCAATGGATAGGGGTGAACGTACAGTCTGAAGCCACGAGAGTTCTCTGCTCGGGGTAGGAACCCTGGTACCGACTGGATAGGAAAATGGCTGGACCCCAGAGTCGTGAGAACGACGTGTTACAGAGATAAATCCGCGACCTTGCCGGAAATCGAACCCAGGTCCTTCAGTCCATAGCCTTGTCAAAAGACTGACTCAGCTTCCGCGGTTCCAATTATTATTGTGGCGTACAGACCCGTTGCTAAGCAATGACCGTTTCTGGGAAACGGTTCGGTAAACACTTTCCCGTTGCTAGGCAGCACAGTTTTGATAATTCAACAGTTGGACTACAACTATGGAAACGGGATGTTTCTATGTGGTCCGTGCCGAGATGTTATAAGCAAGGAACAAAGTCGGTTGATAGACAGTTGTGTATGGGAGGCTGTGAAAAGACGACCTGAGCGCGTAAAGCTGAATAATCTCCACCGTTAGAAGCCGTTACCAACCACCTGCTCACGCTGGCTCATCGCTCACGGATTTCTTATAACCTGAAGATGGAGGTGATACCTTCCTCCGAAACGTCGGTTAACACAATATTTACACGGCGCCACATCCAAGAAAATGGCATTCTTCATAGTCACAGCCGTGAAAACCTCAAATCTTACATAGTTAGGGTAGCATTTAGGTTTTAAGGCAACAGATAAAAGATTTAAAATCTGAAGTTTTCACGGCGGCTAAAGCTGATGGAATCTTCTCGGGCCACTAGGCACGGCTGACAGCACGGCAGCAGGCTGGCATAGTTGGTCCCTGTGGGGCAACAATGCCGCCCGCTTCCCAGTAGTTGGATCGGTACTTACTTACTCATGGTGCTGATCCCTTCTTGAGGAAAAGCAAATCTGCAGCTACTCAAGAATTTCCCAGCATTTTATGGAACCCAAAGGTACATTATCGTGTTCACAAGAGCCCTCCACTGGTCCCTATCCTGAGCCAGATCAATCCAATCCTATCTCCCTAAGATCCATTTTAATATTGTCCATCCACCTACGCCTTGGTCTTCCCAGTGGTCTCCTTCCTTCTAGCTTTCCCACCAATATCCTATATGCATTCTTCTTCTCCCCCATTCGTGCTACATGCCCTGCCCACCTCATCCTCCTTCACTTGATCATTCTAATTACATTTGGAGAAGAGTACAAGTTGGATGGGCAGTAGTATAGAATGGGGAAGGTGACGTCAAGGGCACAACTCAGAACTGTGGAGTGCTCCAGTACAGTGACGTAATGGTTCCGACATCAACAGTCGTCTGGGCATGTATTGGGTAGGCACGGATCGGCAAGGCAAAACAAACTGCGGCCCAATACAACAAGCGTTATTATTGAACTTGCACATTATGAGTACATGAACGAAGTACAGTCATCAGAGAAGTACTAACAATATACTAACTGCAGTGAGCGAGGTACAGTCTTTACAAAAATGTACGATATACTAACTCTAGTGAGCGAGGCACAGTCTTTAACAAAAATATGCATTACATACTTACTGTGGTAGGCGAGGTACAGTCTTTACAAATGTATGTAGAACAGATATGATATAACTAGCATTACTACTGAACCTTACTGGCATATGAACATACATGTGAGCGAGGTACAGTCTTTACAGTATTATATACAACAGACTAGCAGCTTCTCCTACCGGAAATATGTTTTCGTAATAAGGTCCGTGGCCCCTAGGTGGCCCGTGCCGTAAGGGAGACCTGCCTCATAGGCAAGCGCGGGGCTGAGGCCTGCTGAGTATGGGGGTTCATATGAGAGACCTATATCATAGGCTAGATCTCCTGCAGAAACCCCATACCCGCTTCCATAGGTGAGATCACTTACTCCATACGCCAGGCCAGGAATTACTGCAGGAGCACTGTAGGATAACGCGCCTCTGGATAGCCCGTAAGTCAGAGCGGGAGTCACGCCATAGGCGAGAGTAGGTGAGGCTGAGAAGTCCAGGGCCGGGGCAGACACGGCCTCCGAAACAGGGACGGAATAGGCGGCGACCTTGGAAACGGGGGCGGAATAAGTAGCGGTAACAGGGGCGGCGACCGAGGTTACGGGGGCGGAATAAGTAGCGGTAACAGGGGCGGCGACCGAGGTTACGGGGGCGGAATAAGTAGCGGTAACAGGGGTAGCAACCTTGGCTAAAGGGGCGGAAGACACAGCAGGCGTCTTGTGCACGACGGCGTTGAAGCCATTGTGAGCGTCGGCGCTGTACTCCACAGTACGACGAACTCCGTCAGGCTGCACCAGGCTGTAGCTTCCGCGGACGACGTCTCCGCTTCGAGTCTCGTGATGTTCCTTGTTGTCCCCAGTGTGGGGATCGTTCACACCATAGGAGAAGCTGTACTGTGGAGGGCTGTAGCTACCTTGCACGGCTGTGGCGACGGGTGCAGCAATGGGGGTGGCGTAAGCCGGGGCGACAGCAGCGTAAAGCCCGCCTTCCAAGCCGCCCGCTCTGGCAGCAGTCAGCGCTGCGGTGATGAGAATGCAAAACTGTGGAGATGAAGGAATAAACAGTTGGTAACTCTTGCTGTGCCAGAATCCAGAGAATGGAAACTACTGGCATGAAGCATCACGCCATGGAGACGTATGGGGTAGTGGAGGTATAGCTCCAAGAATATTTAAGCACGGCAGTAGATGGAGCTGAGTGGTTAGCTTCACGTTCCGGCTGCTTTACCTAGTAGAAAGATCCCCTGGTACCCATTAGATAGAGGGTTGGTACTCAGCTACCAGACTATACGGCGTTACAACCAAGAATACAATAATCTTGAGTGCAGGCTTAACACTTTTCCGAAACACCACAAGAACATATGATTCTTCGGAAAATATTTTTATCCCACGTGTAGATCTACTTCTCTAAGTCCAATGCCAGAAGAAATAACTTGAATTAACCTTCTCCATGCTGCGAGCATATAATCATTGATCTCTTCTGCTAGGAATGTTTTCATGGCTTGGTAGTGCCAGTAAATATACCTTCTCTACGACTAAAATTACCGGCTTCTGGGTTATGGCGCGGTGTAGTCTAACAAAAAGTTATCAACGTTTCGGAGGAACCTGCAGCATCTGTTTTCAGTCTCTCCTGAAGATGGAGACAGCACGCTCCTCCGAAACCTTGGTGACTTTCTATCACATTGCATTACGTCACATCCGAGATGACAGCTATCTTCATAGTCATCGCTGCAAAACTCTCAAATCTTTCCTAACAAATTTTGAACATATTTCTTTCCAGTGTTATTTATTTAACGATGTCAGTGTCTAGCTTATATAGCGTCGAACTGCAGATGAATAAGATGGGATCAGAAAGGACGGGCAATGGGTTAATGGAAGAACTGTCCTAACCTTCGAGTGGAGGGACTGAGAAAAACAAGAAAAAATATTAAATTTGCCATCTTCTGGGATATAGTGCCGTGTAGCCTGTATATGAGCAGAAGTTTCGGAGTAACGTATCACATCCATCTTCAAGGTCGAAAATCAGCCGAGGAAGCAACCAACGAGAGCAGGTGGCTAGGTATAATTCTGGAGGTGATACATTCCTCCGAAACGTCCGCTCATATACAGACTACACGGCGCTATATCCCAGAAGATGGCAAATTTCATAAATACCGGTGTGGGAACCACAAATCCGACAAAAAAATAACATTGTGGTCGGTGTGTCGGTCAAGATTCGAACGGAATACAAGTTTACAGAGTTAGTGACACGTGCATTTGTTCCGCTTTGTAAATGTAAAGCTGTCAGCTGTGAATTCCTCAATATAAAATTAATATAACTAAAAAAGGCATTAATTCTAAAATAATTTAGCATGGAGAGGGTTAGTCTGCTGACTGAAACAACACAAGAGTCCTGTCGACCGGCGAAGACCGTGCGCAACCTCTTACCTTGAAGGCCATATTGCTGGGGCCTAGCGAACTGAGACCATTCCATCAAAACGACAGCTTTTATAGATATATGCGTGTCCCTTTCCACTGATCCACGCACGCGGATACATCACACTTTCGACACACTGACACAACAGGACCGACTCGGTCTCGAAGCCCGGGGCTGGGTCGGTGTTTCGCCACTCCGCAAATCGCGGGCGAAGCTGCCCGTACTGCTGAGGTCCTGGTCCCGAACAGCAGCAAAACACTTCCGCATACAGCTACACAACGCAGCAGATGGGGCCCTTAACTGAAGGGTCCTCGGGTTCAATTCCCGTGACACAAGGCGAGCTTGTCCACAGTGCAAAGAACCATTCTCATAGCGGTAATGCACTTCTCTTCGTCGTGTCCAGTAGGTGCCGGTTTTACACTCTTGTCCCGGAGAGTCCCGTCGTCGGAGCCGACGAAAAGGGAACCCAGTGCCTGGGAGTCCAACCGGGCCACCCTGTTCCTGGGGGATATAAGTACGGGGACCTGGCCCTCCAGGTTGGCGAAGACTCGAATTGAGACAGCAAAATGTGGCCATGAGTCCCGCAGGACTCGGACCTGAGAATGACAGCGCTGGCGAGGATCAGCAGTAATTTTAAAAGACAGACTCATCCTCATGTCACAGAGGAAGTTACAAAAGGAGTACAATTGTGTTATAGGGCGGCGTCATAGCTCAGGAGGTTAGTCGCTGGCTTCCCACCGCAGCGGCCCGGGTTCGATCCCGGGGTCTGGTCAAGTGGGATTTGTGGTGGACAAAGTGGCGCTGGGGCAGGTTTTCTCCGAGTACTTCGGTTTCCCCTGCCAATATTCATTCCACCAATTGCACCACAATCACCCTCACCTATCATCGGGGGCTGGTACAATAGGCCAGAAGTAGCCGCAGTACAAGGAACTTAGTCCCACCCCACTAGCAATAAAAAAAAATAACCGTGTTATGATACGGGGATGGGTGAGGGGAGACCAGGGTGAGGTTACATCCCACAGTTACCAACCTTCTGCATCCGAAATGAAGTTCTCTTTCAACACAATATGCAGTCTTAATATTCAACTAAAGTCATAATAAATCAAAAACTTTACATAATGATGGTGATCATTATCATTCCTTAAATATCGCCTCGTGTTTCCCCTAAGCCTGGCTGCAACACACATGCATCTCCTTATATAGTTACAGTATACAGCTAAACAACATCTCGGCGTTGTCTCGTAAAAACCTGTGACTAGCCTGGCATTTGGTAGTGGAACTTAAGGACGATAGACCGTTAGTTAAAGTAATTTTAATGTGTCTCGCACTCCCGTTCTAGCTACCCTTAAATCCAACTGTAGTTTCCGAAATGTGTTGTAAAACAACTTGCAATTGGTCACTCAACCTCTTCTCCAATTAATGTCCTGCAAAAACAATATGATTGACTAGTCGGCGCCGTGCGTCACAGGATAAGGGATGAACCAGAGGTTTCCTCGTAGGGTCTCCCTAACTTCATTTACTCTCAATATTACATCAGCTTAACTTCCTTCACAGGAATTCTAGTGTGGTCTCTGCCCATCGCCGTTCCCAGCTCTGACCAAAATGCTAAACCAGTAAACATCGTTATCTTGTGGTCTGACCAGCATTTCCTCATCTTCCACATTTTCTTTTACAAACTGTTCATATTCATGCCATTAATATAAACAATTCACTTAAATATTTTTTTTTGCTAGTGGGGTGGGACTAAGTCCCTTGTACTGCGGCCACTTCTGGCCTATTGTACCAGCCCCACATGATAGGTGAGGGTGATTGTGGAGCAATTGGTGGAATGAAGATTGGCAGAGGAAACCGAAGTACTCGAAGAAAACCTGCCCCAGCGCCACTTTGTCCACCACAAATCCCACTTGACCAGAGCCGGGATCGAACCCGTGCCGCCGCGGTGGGAAGCCAGCGACTAACCGCTTTAGCTATGGCGTTCCCCAATTCACTTACGTAAATCAAGGTTAACTGATTAAAAGTAATCGATCTTAGGTAAACACTGCACACTAGGCAAATCAAAAGCATAGGTATGTCGTTCCGTAACAACCGCAAGTTGGCAAATAAGATTTCTGGTCGTGGGTCTCGAGGCGCTTGTCGCCAAGGCGAACTGATTGACGGTAAACGACCTGTGTGACTCTGACGATACCAATGACTACTCAGTAATCTTTATTCGAAAGTTAACCGGCTGGAATATGAAACTGCCCACTTATCTCGATCAAGCAATGCGGATGGCGTGGAGGTTTACCTCCATTTATATGCATATAAGATGAGGTTTTGAGGCGCAGGGGAAACTAACTCCATACAGCAGAGTATGTCCGGAGAAGCTGCCCGTATCTAGCCAAGGATTTCCTTGGTTCATTACAGCGTCCTGTAATTGGCAGTTTTAGACAGCAGACAAAACCGTCTGAACTGCCTGGTGCAAAGTATTCCCAGGCCTTGGTCTCATAAGCGTTTCGGTGGAACATGGTTCCTCTATCTTCAGGATCGTAGTGGGTAGAATGAAGATATTGATGGTGCCTATTTAATTAGCAACATCTTCACTCCAACGAATTCAATCCTGAAGACAGAGGAAGTATGTTCCTCCGAAACACCTGAATCCACCAACCACGCTATCATAACCCCACAATATGACCATAACTTGAGTCTTCATCTGTATGAAAACATAAACTTAGCTTTCACTGTGTTTATGTGAAATGTCTGATGAAACTGAGCATCAAAAGTTGTCAAGCCAATTGGATCACGGGTCCCGCTGACCAGTATTGCCACTACACATTGTCTGCATTACGCAAGACACGAGGGCAGTGTTGCGCAAGCGCATGGCAGCCCGACAACTCTCGATTTCCTCACATACATGTGGAACGTGGGGGCTCGCAGCTTCAATATCGAGTCAGCAGTACTTTCCCTGAGACAGAGCTAAGTCTCGTGGCGCACTTCATCGATCTGCGGCCACTTGACGACGCTGTATCAACTACATAGATTATGTAATGTGGACTCACAGTACTGATACGACCATTCGAACACGTGAGTAGCGTAGAATAAATTGCTGCCAGCACACCCATTCTTTATTTCGAATCCCACGAGAACCACGACCACATTTTACTGGCTCACGATTCCGGAAGTAGAATAACTCTTCAGTTCGCGATAAATGTGGGAGCGAGAATATGTTCACCTCTCAGAAAACATATCACAACTTCGCTACAAAGATCAGTCGGTTGATGTATGGAACTGCTACCGATATTTCTTTCGAGTACCAAACACAACATAAACAGCGTGGGCGAAACGTCCCCTAGACTATGAAACATGACAAGCAGGACACAGCAGATAGATTCCAAATTGAAACTAAGATGAAGGCGAGAGGGTCAGCATGACCTTAGACAGCTTAAACACCGGTTTCGCTGCAGAGGTCGTCCTTCGCAGTGAACTTGACAGTGGAGCGTCTTCACCTCGAGGGCTGACTTCACTGCTGGACTGACATCAAACAACACATTCATACATTAGGAGACAGCCTGTTCGAGTAACTCTCTGGTAGCAGAACCCGACGGTTCAACACCGCTACTACCAAAGCCGGCCACTGGACACGATCCTAAGCCAGCTCCATCCACATTACCCATTTCCCTAAGATCCATCTTAATTAGTAGCAGAACCCGAAGGTTCAAAACCGCTACTACCAAAGCCCGCCACTGGACGCGATCCTGAGCCAGCTCCATCCACATTACCCATTTCCCTAAGATCCATCTTAATTAGTAGCAGAACCCGAAGGTTCAACACCGCTACTATCAAAGCCCGCCACTGGACACGATCCTGAGCCAGTTCCATCCACCTCCCATTTCCCTAAGATCCATCTTAATTAGTAGCAGAACCCGAAGGTTCAAAACCGCTACTACCAAAGCCGGCCACTGGACACGATCCTAAGCCAGCTCCATCCACATTACCCATTTCCCTAAGATCCATCTTAATTAGTAGCAGAACCCGAAGGTTCAAAACCGCTACTATCAAAGCCCGCCACTGGACACGATCCTGAGCCAGTTCCATCCACCTCCCATCCTCACAGCCCATTTCCCTAAGATCCATCTAAATTAGTAGCAGAACCCGAAGGTTCAAAACCGCTACTATCAAAGCCCGCCACTGGACACGATCCTGAGCCAGTTCCATCCACCTCCCATCCTCACAACCCATTTCCCTAAGATCCATCTAAATTAGTAGCAGAACCCGAAGGTTCAACACCGCTACTACCAAAGCCCGCCACTGGACGCGATCCTGAGCCAGTTCCATCCACATTGCCCATTTCCCTAAGATACATCTTAATTAGTAGCAGAACCCGAAGGTTCAAAACCGCTACTACCAAAGCCCGCCACTGGACACGATCCTGAGCCAGTTCCATCCACCTCCCATCCTCACAGCCCATTTCCCTAAGATCCATCTAAATTAGTAGCAGAACCCGAAGGTTCAAAACCGCTACTATCAAAGCCCGCCACTGGACACGATCCTGAGCCAGTTCCATCCACCTCCCATCCTCACAGCCTGGTTCCCTAAGATCCATGTTACCATAACAACGGGACGATCCAGTTGCGTTTACACGCATCTCCAGCGCAATTATCTAAATATTTAATGGAAAAGAAAGAAAGTTTGAAACCAAAATCTCGGAGATGTGGAAAACACAATCAATGCCCAACACACGTCTTGTAACGACGCCACTGCCGCTGCTAGCTCGGCGCTTGACTCTCAACTGCTCACTCACTGATCATAAGACAGGCCAGGCATAAATTGCATTACGGCCGATGGCTCGGGTTCCAGTACTTGTTTAATGACACTGCGCCAACCTCAGACCTCATTAGTGACCAATATCTTCTGATTTGTCAAGTAATATCATCTGGGATAAGGTGGTGTATAGTATTGTAGAATTCTACAGACGTTTCGGAGGAACACATTGCGTACATCTTCAGGGTAAAATAATACAACCAAGTAGTAAGACTACATGGAGTCACGTAACATAAGACGGCATTCATTATAGTCAATGTCGCGAGAATTTCAAGTATCACATTGTTGAGTAACTTAACGATATCTTATACTCGTAAGCTTCGTATGTGGCTGCAGAGCACTGAGGACATTCATAATTTATACTCTTCACCAGACATTAGGCTAGTGGTTCTCAGCCTTTGTGAGAACGCGGCTCGATAATTTCTCTTTTTATTACACGACGGCCCGGTACCGGGACGCGACCCGGCGGTTGAGAAACACGGCGTTAGGTTTTGAAATGAAGGACCAGCAGATAATATAGCACACGTAGGAGAGATGGGGAACACACAGCATTTTAAACGAAAAACCTCAACGGAATACACCACCTAAAAACATAAGCATAAAGAGTAGGTTAATATTAATATGGATCTTCCAGAAATGGCACTCCGGTGTCTGTACTCGTTTCATCTAACTCAGCATATAGATAAGTGGCGAGTTCTCGTGGATATGGTAATGAACCTTTAGGGCCCGTAAAAGACAGGAAGTGGCTTGGTCATCTGAACTACTATCAGCTTTTTAAGGTGGATTCCGCTTCTATGTAGTTGTAAGTTCATAATTAAAACAGGGCCGATAATAAGAGAGTCTATGAATGAGGAAGTGGTAAGGATGTGGAAGGAAACGCATATCACCGTGCTTCAAGATCGAAGTCCTGCGAAAACCCACGAAAAATCCCAGTTATGACGTCGCAGGAACGTGACGTGGGCCACTTCCACGTCATATCCCCGGACGTGCAGAGAAGGCACCAGGATGGACAGTGGAAACGTAAAGTAGGATAACTCATCCTCACTACGAGGCAGGAATGTTAACCACTACATCACGAAATCGAACCCAGGAATGCTGGGTCATTGGCAATGAGTAGACTTATCCAGCGGGCAAGTTCTGTGATTACACCCCGAGAAAGAAATCATGAAAACAAGTGATAACTCACAACACAGCCACCAGAGCGTGCCATATACTTTCTCAAAAACTCTACGCTAAGCAACTTGTGACCTAGTGGAGGGAGGAGGACGGCTGGTTATTTCATAATTATTTATTTACTGAGAGGTGTATTTATGTATTATGGAGTAAGCTGGCTCAAGCGATAACGCTTCTGACTTGTATTTGGGAGGTATCCAGTTCGAATCTAAGCAGGGAACGACAATCCGGGCTGAGATTTGTTAAGGTTTTCCTCAGTCCCTCAAGAAAAATTCCGAGGCAGCTCCTCAAAATAGTCCACGGCCGACTCCTGTCGCATCTTTTCCAATTTATTATTCACTATGCACTCTAATCGCTGGCGGTATCGTTAAAGGGGCTACACATATTTACTGTTTACTTTGTTTACTTAACGACACTCAGATTATGCAGTGTTAAATGACAGGATCAGTAGTGAATAATGAATTGGAAAGGATGTGGAAGGAAGTGATCATGGTCTCACTTGAGGTACTATCCCAGCATCTGACTGGAGCAACCGATGCAGTTAGGACAGTGGGTCTTGGGGTGGGACACACAACACAAACTACGCCGAATTGCTGTTAAGCAAGTTACCAAGTCACTTAATCATTGCATTTTATTACTGAAACTGTTAACATGAAGTACAGTGGGAATATTGTAAAGCTGCAGTTCTTTGTTTTGGTCCGCCTCCTGGACGTCAGTACTCATAATTGGCGTACGGGGCGCTGAAGGAGGTGCGGGCACCGCTGGGGTGGGCTGCCGGTGCGCCGACGCGAACGCCTGGCACGGATTGGTACTGGGCTGCAGGAACGGCGTGCACAGCCAGAACCTCTGGGTCGGACTGGTATGTCAGCTCCGGGACAGGGTGCACAGCCAGGGCTGGTGTTGATTTGTACGTGGCCGCAGGGACGGAATTGATAGCCAGGGCTGGTGCGGTTTTGATTGAGGCAACAGGGAAGGACTGCAATGTCACTTCAGGGATTGGGTTCACAGCCAGGGCCGGTGCGGTTCTGATTGCAGCAGCAGGGACGGACTGGAACCTCACGTCAGGGATGGGTTGGTATGTCACTTGAGGTATCGACTGGAAAGTCGGGGTCGGTGCGGTTTTGATTGTGGCAGCAGGGACGGACTGGAACGTCACGTCAGGGATGGATTGGTATGTCACTCGAGGGATCGACTTGACAGCCAGGGCCGGTGCAGGTTTGATCGTGGCAGCAGGGACGGACTGGAACCTGAAGTCAGGGATGGGTTGGTATGTCACTTCATGGATTGGCTTCACAGCCAGGCCCGGTGCGGTTTTGATTGTGGCAGCAGGGACGGACTGGATCCTCACGTCAGGGATGGGTTGGTATGTCACTTGAGGGATCGACTTGGCAGCCAGGGCCGGTGCGGTTTTGATTGTGGCAGCAGGGAAGGACTGCAATGTCACTTCAGGGATGGACTTCACAGCCAGGGCTGGTGCCGGTTTGTAGGGTACAGGTGAGGCGGGGGTTGCAATTCTAGCAACGACAGGTGCAGCAGGAAGAGGGACGAGGGGCTTCACAGGAGCGGGTGGAGCAGGGACGGCTCCGATTTCACGCTGGACGACGGCGTTAAACCCGTTGACGGCGTCCGCTGAATAATCCACTCTACGGATACTGCCATCAGACTCAACGACACTGTAGCTACCCTGGACGTTGTCTCCAATTCGTGTCTCCTGGTGGCTCTTCGAGTCTCCGGTGTCTGGGGCGTTCACACTGTAGGAAAACTTGTATTGCGGGTTGGGGTCATACGGGGAGTCAACGGTGTCCTGGGCGAGCAGTGACGACTTGGCGGCGTACACCGTCGGCGAGACGACGGGACGGACGGCAGAGGACGAGTAGGTCTCAGGGGCGTCCAAGTACTTGCCGATGGGAACTGTGTAGGCGTAGGTAGGGGAAGAGGTATAGGTAACCGTGGGGGACAAGACACCTCGCCGGAGGGGCACGATGTTGTAAGACGCGGGAGAAGCAGAGCTCACCGCGAAGACAGTGGCAGTGATGATGAACAGCTGAGGACAGTCATTACCACGTGACAAGTCAGACATATGACAAGACAAACACAAAAAAAAATGGGCTGAGGGGAGTGTCTGAACACAAGCGCGAGGCTAGAGATAACTGAATAACTAACAACCTCATAATTTTAACTCCTCATTAATGATGTGGATCCTAAAACAAACTAAATTTAAGGCAGATTCCTAGATTTTTAGGTATATTTTGCAAATTAAAAGATGTCTGAGTGCCTCTGTGGTCTAGTGGTCAGAGTTCCTGGCTACAGATCCAGAGGCCCGGGTTCGATTCCCGGTGCTACCAAATTTTCTGAGAAGTATTGGATCTGGAACGGGGTACACTCAGACTCATGAGGATAACTGAGGAGCTATTTCAGGGAAATAGCGGCTCCGGTCTAGAAATCCGAAATTAACGACCGTGGGGATTCGTTGCGCTCACCACGCAACACCCTCTATCCGCTAAAGTTGGCACTAGTTCGCTCGTGGACTCAAGCCACGGAGCTTTTTCTGTATTGAGAATAACGTATATTTTTCGGAACACTACGGCAAAGGTTTATATAACTAACACTATTTGTTTAAGCCTACAACCAATAATCAATATTGTAATCAAAAATACGAACTCCGGCAGTTTTAAACATTGATTAATGGAGGGGGAATAGAAGAGAGAGTTGAGAGTGAGTACTACCTGATGGTGTACAAAAATAGTGGCGCGAAACATGTAATGTAGAACCTGTACAGATACATACACTGTGAGAGAAACTGTACAAAATGATGGGTTACTTTTTACCCTTCTGCAGTCTCCACTACGTCCAAACATTTATAATTTACTCAAACCCTTACAAAACAACAGGCAAAATGGCCTCACAGTTTCGATACGGTAACGTACTCACTTTGCAAACCATGATTGCGTCTCGTTGCTGAAGGAGCTGCGACCCACACTGACAATGGAGATGGACCAGCATCTTTATATAAGGCCCGTTGAGTTAACATTAACTCATGTTGGACTGAAAGAAACGATGTGCGGGCAGAGGCGGAGCAAGACGCGAAAATTTACAGCCCTGTCCGGCGGGCGACCTTCCCAGTATCAGCCGGTCCTACTTTATGCGACGGCTTCGGGTAATGGAGACATAACTGTGTGCACAGCGGCCTGTGTTCATGGCTTTTGTAATGAGACTTCTTGAAAATCATACACTTGAAGATTTTGTACGCGGGACGAGGATGTGACTGGCTCAGGTTCGTGTCCAGTGGCGGGCTTTGGTATTAGCGGTGTTGAACCTTCGGGTTCTGCTAACAGAGATTTTTTATTTCTAGAGGGGTGGGACTAAGTCCCTTGTATTGCAGACACTTCTGGCCTATTGTACCAGCACCAGATGAGGGTGAGGGTGATTGTGGAGCAATTCGTGCAATGAAGACTGGCAGGGGAAACCAAAGTACTCGGAGAATACATGCACCAGCGCCACTTTGTCCACCACAAATCTCACTTGACAAGACCCGGGATCGAACCCGGGCTGCCGCGGTGGGAAGCCAGCGACTAACCGCTTGAGCTATGGCGCGGCCTTTAACAGAGAGTTAGTCAATTAGTAAGATGGATCTTAGGGAAATGGGTTGTGAGCATGGGAGGTGGATGGAACTGGCTCAGGATCGCGTCCAGAGAATACGCTGGACTTCAACAGCGACGAAGCGGCTCACAAATACTTGAAGTGCCCAACGTGAATTCCATGCGGTGTAGCTATGCTGACCTGTCTCTAAGAGCAACAAACGATATTCGCATTTTCCAACATTCTTCATGGTCCTCTGTCATTCGGTGCTAAGCAATCCACTTCACGCTGTTTCACAACTACAGGGAAAAGGTGCAATCATGCAATATATGTTACAGAATGTATCCATCTTAATGGCAGAGCGTGAAGACAAAATGGCGATATTAGATGCACCAACTGGTGCGGTTCGCTCGGCCCATGGCACAGGACAGCAGTTCTGAACACCTAGAAGTTCGCCACAAGACGTACTGAACGCTATACACTTAATGGCAATGTAGTGGTTACCGCTTCTGGCCCAAATTAGGAACGTAAAGTTGTTCATGTCCTTCATTAATTAAGAAACATCCCATAAAGATGTATGGAGGAATGGAGGTATAGTCATATGGGAGAGTGGAGATGAGTTCCATGCATTCACAGTCACGATATTAGAAGAAAGAGAGTGGTCAGTTTCACGTCACGGCCAATTTAGTCCAGAAAGAAAGCCTCGGCAGCAGTGGGAGAGTTGCGGATGGGTTCCAGAGCACGTATGGAGGCAACTCTCTTTTCCTGCCGGGTATCGAACCCCAATACAGTGAAGTGCAATGGAGTATACTGCCATGTGTGCGCGATGACTATAGACGGGCTATGGATTGGTGAACTGGATTTACTGACAGCTTGTACACACCACTCGGAACTACAAGCACTTACAAAGCTATCGCTGATTTTCACACTTTAGAAATCACTATATTTCAAGTCCTTCCTCTGTCTCGTGTCTCCAACAGCCGTTCCCTAGCAACGACTTCTAACAGTGGAGATTCTTCAGCTTCCCGCACTCACGTCGTTACTGGCCGGCAAGTATCCCGCAACGGAACCAATCAGCCGGCCTGGGGTCCCCAATATATGGGTGTCGGGGCGGATGCAAGAGAAACAAACGCTTCCAACATATTTTCTATTGCTGTTATGGGCGGTTTCCTAGGGATAGCCCAGATATAATTAGAGCGGGAAAGTGTTTATGGAGCCGTTGCTCAGAAAAGGCCGTTTGTTGGTCTACTGCATAGCAACGACTGTACTAGTTGTTTGTTTCGAGGTCTTTGCCTACCATCGGGTTTATATGGCACAATATCAAAAGAAAACGCTGGTGTAGGACGTCGCCTGAAAGACTGAGACGCATATACAAGTTGCTAGCATTTAAACTAAACTGCGGCTTTTGTGTCAGCGGCGATGACGCTTACAATTCCTCGCCTCTCTGTTCCCTCAACTGTACGCGTAACCTCTGACATACTGATCAGTTGAAGGTCGTAGCTGTGTCATTTATGTCCCACAACTCGCAGTAATGGGGCAGGCGGTCATAATCCCGCGACAATCCTACCGAATGGTGCTGTGGCCTTGCGCCTGTATCCGGAACACAGACACGACGGTGTGTCCTCACACCGGGACACTCCTTCTCCAAAGGAATGACCGAGGAACACCAGAAAACGCACGTCACTGAAATCGATTCCAACCATACACATCATTAACTTCATCATTTTCACCATAGTTATCACCGAACGGCGCCCATGCGCGGAGAATCCTGACCCGTATTCGGAAGGTCCCGGGTTCGAATGTCAGCTCAAAGACCGACTATCACAAGTTTTCCGCGGTTCTTCTCGGTCCCTGCGGGGAGTGGGATAGTTCATTCGGTATAGAGATAGGATACAGGCTTGATGACCGCTGTTCGATTACCGGCAGGGGAAGGGCAGCATCCAGACAGGCTCCGAAGCCCACCCAACTACCTATTCAATGGGTACCTGGGGCTATTTCCTCGCACAAAAAGGGGCCGGGGCGTGAAGCTGACCACTCACCACCACCTAGTGACGGGGTTAAGAAATGTGGAGCTATACCTCTAGTCCCCAATACGTCCCCATGGCGTGGTGTTTAATTAATTACGCACAGGGAAAACTTTACTTTTACCTTTACGGTGTAGGGAGGCACAGTGATACTACGTGAAACTAGACAACGATCGCGTTCTGTTGCTGCAATTTCTGTGACGACAGATGGTCTGTGGCCGTGTTGATACCGGGACTGCTACACACTCGACTACACGGTGCTACGATCCAGGTCGTCGCGACAGCTTCAGATCTCACGCAAAGAAACACGCTCAGATGCATCAGTAAGGCAAATGTCAGGAGCTGCCGTTTGGAAGGGAGACGTTACACTGCAGGACGATGAACTGGAGCGACGGGACTGCATGAAATGCCAAGACCCGGTAGGACCGGACAAGCTGCAGATTTCCTTACAGGTCAAGAGATATCTGCGCAGATCAAAGGAAGGCTCCAGTGGACGTAACGGACAGCACAGCGGTCGTTACCTTCAGGGGTACAGCGCCATGTAGTCCGTTGATAGTCAAAACCGACATTTCGGAAGAAAATGCCGCTTCTATCTTCAGGGTCGAAGAATAAGCCAAGGAAGAAACTAGTGTTAAAACAGGTTTGGCACACAGAGCTCTGAACGTTTCTCCGAAACGTCAGTTGACTTTCAACGGAATACGATGGTTGGAACTTTGCTAGTGGCAACTATTTATTTAAAAGTGATACAAAATAGATGCATGTTTCGAAGTTTTACTGTCCTTCAATGTAGTCACCAGCATTGTGTACAACCCGTTGCCAGAGATGTGGAAGTCGTAGGATACCTTCAGCAGCGCCTGTTGTGTTGATAGTTCGAATGGAGCGGTCTACTGCCTGAAGAATCTCTGGAACAGTTCTGAAGCGAATGCCACGAAGTGGTTCCTTCATCTAAGGAATCAAGTCGAAGTCACAAGGGCTTAAGTCCGGGGAGTATGGTGGATGGTACAGCACTTCCCAGCCCCATCGATCGAACAAATCAGCCACAGCTTGCGCTGCATGCGGCCGAGCATTGTCCTGCAAAATGATGGGTGGGTTCTGCAGAAAGTGTCGCCGCTTCTTTCTCAAAGCTGGTCACAGATCGTGTTCCAAAAATGAACAGTAATACTGCGCATTGACGGTCTGCTGTCGGGGAACGGTATGCGTTAGGATAACACCATAACAGTCGTACACGAGAATCACCATAACTTTCACATTGCTGGGGTTCTGACGAACTTTTGATTCTCGTGGTGACCCGGAATGACGCAATTCGTTCGATTGGCGTTTCATTTGTGGCTCGTACGATTTGACCCATGTCTCATCCAGCGTAATGATACGGCGTAAGAAAGCGGCTCCTTCGCGCTCATAGCGCTCCAAGTGGTTACGAGCAGCGTCGTATCGCAGCCATTTCTGCATTTCCGTCAAATCATGCGGAACCTATCGTGATGCAATTTTTCTCATGCCAAGCGTTCCTTCAGAATGTGAAGCACAGACGTATGCGCCAATCCTGTCTCTCGGGCCAGCTCACGAATCGTATGGCGTCGATCACTCTCCAGTAACGCGGAAAGAGCATACACTTCTTCACTGACACTAGGACGACCTGGCCGACGCATGTCTGCCACATTTTGGCGTCCCTCGTTGAAGGCTTTTACCCACCTTTCCACTGTTCTGTAAGGCAATGCAGATTCCCCGCAAGCCTCTTGAAGGCCTTGATGACACTGTCGTGCTGTACGGCCTCTGGCACATTCAATCTTTATCCAACTCCGTTGTTCCTGTTTCGAAAACATCGTGACAACACTACATTAGACCGTCAGCTAACATGAGGCTCTGTTCTTCTCGTCACTGCGCATGCGCGTGATGTGGGAAGGGAGAGTCCATTTGCTCTGAGCTAAGGTAGATATGTAAGTAACGTGTGGTATAAGCGACATTATTTGGTTCCGGTGCATGGCGTCTCTACAGCAGTGTTGCCACTGTTAAAGTTCCAACCCTCGTACATGGTGTTATATCTCAGAACACAGAACTCTTCATAGCTCACCATGACTTGCGCGGTATGTAAGAACCGGACGTTTAAAATAGCTCAGTCGGTACAGCGATAAGCTACGGGCTGGATGGACGTGGTTTGATCACTGGCAGGAGAAAGATATTTTTCTGTACTCTACAGTGTTCAGACCGGGTCTGGGATCCACCCAACATCCTATACAATGGGTACTGGGGCATATAGCTGATCACTCATCTCCATCGCACTGCCAAGGTAAACAATGCCGAAGCTATACATCCAGTCCCCCATATGCCTTAATTAATTAAGCACTGGGACAAGTTCATTTACTTTTCACAGGGATACTGGGTTTTCGGACTTTATCCAGC